GAATTTTATCTGAAAAACATAATTATTTGCATCAAGGTCCCATAAAGTCTAATGTATATACCAAGTTTGAACAAAATCCATCTGTAAACAGCCGAGAAATGCTTGATTTTTAGGATTTTTTAGCACACAAATGGCAGCCATTCGGCCATCTTGAATCAGATCGTGAAACAAATTGATGTGCATATGTATACATGTAGTATCATGTACGATGTATGTATGAAGTTTGATTGTGATTGGTCCAGGCACTTCTAAGATACAGGTCCGGACGGACGCACGGACACACAGAGGTCAAAACATAAGTCCTCGTTTTCGGACTGTGTCCGAACGGGGACTAAAAAGGTATATTCACTCGATTTTTATTTTCACTGTATCGTTCCATCACCAAAAATAGCGGAAATGAATTCCAAGCGAAAATAAAGCATTTTACAGTATTTTAGATTGTGGAGAACACTGGATTATGCAAAATGGATGACTCATTCATGACATTGAACACTGAATATTGACAATTTATTCTCTATTTCATTACTGTACCTTATACCATCCCCACATGCATAAGAAAATGTGTACATGTAGCTGATTTGAATCACTGTGATCACAGTATTTACTACTAAAATCTTATGACTTTTAAATACTATTAGATTTGAAAAGTGTTTAGAAACTTACATTTCATTTATTATTATCATGAAAGCTGTCAGTACCTGATTTTCCTTTTTAAAAAAAAACATGCAGCAAAATCAATGCCAATGGGTCATACAAAAACTGTACTATAACTTTGTTAATATTGAAATTTTCTTTCAGAATGCATCAGAAGGTGTTTAAGGTATAGATGCATGTTCCTGGGCACTCGGAGTGGATTTTTTTTTTTTTTTTTTGCTTTTCTTACCCAGACAGTCTTGGCTAGATAGCGTTGAAATTTCGGAGCATTGTCAATGCTAGAACATGCCCAAAAATGGATTTTAAAATATAGAGAATCGAGGCACGGGTATGTGATTAAAAGTCCCAAAAGTTTGTTTATGTTGCTCTTTGATTGACAAGTCACTGTTGATTTTATATGCAAATGAGTTGCTGGCCTCAGTTATGGCGCGGCGATGTGTAACTTCCTGTCCACGGCCCTGTTTAACTTACCTCAAGCGCTACCAACTAGTCTTGCAAACTACAAAAAAAAAGACAAGACGTAACCGCTTCCAGCATGCAAGCGGAATACAAAAAAACATACAGTTGTAAATGATAAGTAAACATTTTCACCCTTATCTCACAACATGTCGACAACTTCTAGCCTGGCAGCTTCCAGTGGAGTACTGTTCAATATTTTTTTTTCACGCATTTTTTTCTCTGAAGGCATTATAAAACTGACTAATTATACATTTGTCGTTTCGCTATAACGACCACCGTGCTGATAGCATTGCGATGTAGTAGTGGTAAAACACCATTCAGACCATTGCTGTGCTGTCATCGATAACTAACTTTCAGTGGCAAAATACACAAACGTGAAATGCTCGGTTACTTAAAAATAAAAAAAATACCCCGAAAATTACAGAAACATCGGCAACGAGATGCTGTTTTTAAACATCGCGGAAAAATCACACACTCTGCGATGCCATCTTGGTTACCTTAATCGGAAACGCCATTGTCAGCTAGCATGCATCTGTAGCGGTGTCGCAAAGTACGTTGTACGGCCGTGCTCAACAACCTCTGGTACTATAGCACACTATGAATGAGGTATTTCCAGAGGTCAGGGTTCGTTTTAATTTTTATCGACCCATCGCGTCTGCTCGTAGTTGAATGAAACCTGTTTCGATTTACAATAGTTGTCCTCCATTTCGACTTTTTCTCACCGGCGTTTGAGCGATTGAGTACAAAAACTGTGAATAGCCATTGTGTAGCAAAATATAACGGCCCATTTCAACCTGGCCGTCTAACTTCGCAAGGTCCATTTCACCAGAGATCGTGAAAAACTACGTCATACAGAGTATTTTTTAAAGGTTTGAGGAAAGGTAAATTTAGACTCAACCCACCCATTGGGAATCGCTATGTTTGTATAACTGTATGAATATCTCATCGGCTTTACGTAATCCATTGTGCCCCTCCGTAAGTGGAAAAGATAACACAAAGCCATGACAGTTTTCACGTAAGGTTTTGACTCCGCGGACTATTTTATGTGCGTTTCTCTAGAATTGTAAATATTTTTATTTTATTTTTTTATCTGACGATTGAACATCAACAATAATCGGTGTATGATGGATTTTGGCATGTCGTTGTGATGCAATAGCCATTTTTGTGGACGATTAACGTCACTTTCATAAAACGGCCATCATCTCCGTTCCTGTTTTCTGGTTAGTCAGAGAGATTGAAAATTAATTAGCTCCCACAGTTTTTGTCAGTTTGTCTTGACATTTTCACACTATTTTGACAATGTCTCTACGAACAAAAGGACGTCTGGGCTTATTTTTAAATCTTTGCATTCTCGGACAATGACATTCGAAGTGTGAAATACTGACCGGGATTGACTATAGGGCACACATCCTGCTTGACAACTTTGTAATATGAAAACAAAACATACTATATATACGCCTGGACGCCCCTTTGTTAATAAACAACTGATAAACGTTGTGTGAAAGTTTCACTCAAAATAAACAAGAATTGTGCGAACTATTTAGATTTGAACTTCCATGGTAAACTGAAAAACACAAGTGGAGATAATGGATAATTTGCATTTATAACCATTCACTCAGTAAGAAGTTTGCTAATGCTCATAATTAAAATGGCTGTGACAGTTCCAAATTTAAACCTATTATCGTTTTGTAAAAAGTTAAATATAGTGCATAATATGGATATCCCGTCATTTCTTTTTCTCACCATGTTTCTATTTGATTATTATGTACAGCCTTGCTAAATCTTGCTAAGCATTCAAAAGAGAGAATGTTTGTACCAGTTTTCTATATTTTAAAATCGTCTTTTGAGTATGTTCCACTATTCATAATGCTGTGAAATTTTAACAGTTTATAGCCAAGACTGTTTGGATAATAAAAAGCAAAAAAAAAGAAAATTCACTTCCAAGTGCCCACGAACCTGCATCTCTACCTTAAAGATTTTGATGAGCGTTTGTGTGATGTTTTGATTTTCCCAGTGTTCCTAACACCATGTACTGTCAAGTTCAATAGTTTTTGTTTTCAATAATTAAAGCCTAAATGAGAGTAGAACCAATGGTCCAAAAAGAAAAATTTAAAACACAATTCTGTGGGTTGAAAGTTTTGAAGCCAATAAAGCACAGAAATCTGCTAAATAAAGTGTTGAAGGTTTTACGGTATTTTATTAATTTTGACTTGTTTCTTTCTGTTTCGATTACCTACATGTATGTAATCTATTGTTTTTCATTATTAACCTTAATCATCAAGGAAGTATTTGGTACATACAATTTTCTGTATCACAAAAATATCATATCAGTCTATCCTTTTACCAAACAAGCACAAACATATTAGTCCTGTCAAAATACTAAATGAAATCCTTATACACGTATACACCAGCATTGTGACCAGCATTTACGTTAATAAAATTAACTGTAGAGAGAACCAAATGTGATTTAGAGATTTTTTTTGGGTAATTTTTATTTATTTTTTTCCCCATTTACCATACTATATCCACAGAAAATTCAGTAATAAACTCTATATTTTAGGAGACATACATTTGTATAACTACATCATTATTGTTCATAGCCCTATCTACAGTACTGTGTTGATTGAGACAAACAATAAACAATGTCTGGGGGTTGCCTGTCCGTATTATGATACTAAAAACACAGTCTATATATGCGGGGCTATATTATTCGTACATTTGGGTGACTGACGGCCACAAAATCAGTAACAATCAATGTTAGTCAATATCAAGGGAAAGACTTTCCGAAAAATACCAACTCAAATTCTAACTTTAACCCGACAGATACCCTCTATTGATCCTCAAAATATTAAATTGTATGCATATGCCCCTCATGAGAACACTTATACATGTAGTTATCTGGAGAGATACATGTAACTGAATTATGGGCTGGAGGGCGAGGTTTAAAATTAGGGTAAGGGGGAAGGGGTAATTTCGTCTTGTCATCTGCCGGCACTGGGTTTACAAACTGAATAGTACAAGACATTTGAAAATATTAGTTACCCAGCAGTCTAAATATAAACCCCATTTCGCATAGTTTGTTCCTTACCAAATTGCTGTCACTTGATCAACGTCATCGTCATCTTCTTCTTCGTCAACTGCTCGCGATGGAAAAGTCACAATTTCGCCAAAGAATGTCGCCATTTTGAAAAGCACATGGAAGGGTCAGGGGTCATTGCAAAAATCACACTTTATGGCAATATTGCTGTTTTTCTGAACGAAATTTCAAGGTGGCAAGACAGTTGCGTTGGTATATATTCTTGTATACAGTAACGAAGTTATCAATACCCGACAAACTTTACCATTGTGTTTTCATCAATAAATTACCGGTGGTGATAAATTACAAACAACCAAGCTGGTTTACAAGAGTACTTCAGTATTCGTAATAGTAAATATTCGAATTCTGCCAAGATATCTTTAAAACGGATAAAACAGTGTTATGCGACTAATAATTCATTGAATCCTGATGAGAAAGGTGTTAATAATATTTCTAAACAGGTACTCGTTATTTTGTTTTAATTAATTTCAATACACGCTCTGATTTATTTTCAAATCTACTAATGATACGAATCGGTTGGCAAATGATATTCTTGTCGGCTGTGTCGAAATGATGGCAAAGGAAAGCATGGACGTTGATGCTGTGGATCTCCTGCATCCAGAAACGCTAAGTAAATCAACCATTGTGAAGCTTCTAAGACAGGTAAATACAGATGATCACATTCAGATTAATGTATTCAAGTCGTGTACGCTTCAAATTGTAATATCTTGTCTGTAAAGAAGTGAATAATTTCGTTGACTTTCAGTCACTACACAGGGAGCCCAACCAAAATCACACCCTCGGGGGTGAATTTAAAATAACATACAACTGATTCATACTATTACATGTATGACATGGCAATGGAAGGAAGTGCAGATATACTGAAGATTACTTTATTTTCGCTTAGAATTTATGTTCGCTATTTTCGCGGAAGGGTCGATTCCGTGAAAATAAAATCCAGCGAATATCCTTTCTTTCCTATATTTCACATTCAACTAATCAAAATCAGTGAAGATGAATTCCATACAAAACACCCAAAAACCCTTTTCAGCAAAAATTAATTCCAGCGAAAATGAAGTATTTCACAGTATATGGTTGTACAATGTATGCTGTTGTAATAAATGAATTGAATGCAAACAGTCGTCAGCGACGCATATTTATGCTGCTGCAACCGATATTTTCTCGCAATGCTACATTGACGTGAAAAATAATTGAATCTTCTTCTTTAATAAATACCATAACAGCAAATGGATATAATTTCAATATAGCAATTATTATCATCATATGCATATCATATTCCATGCTTTGGTAAAATAACAGATTGTATATATACATGTACATTGTGTAGTAGTGGTTACCTAGCATTTAGTTTTCTGGATAGAATTCTTATATTCAGATTCCTGAAAGTTGTTTTCAGATATTTGGATTTTATCGACACAGACATGCACAATTTTCAAAAATAAACAACTTCAAGTATACCAAATGTACCAGAAATTACTAAAATACTACATAGTTAGTTTATTGAGAACACATAAAATTCCCCAGGAGGAATTAAACTGGCTGCATAACAAAAATACAAAAACGCAGAGACACGAAGAGCTATAGACCCACAGCTACATGTACATGGAGCCCTGCATGGTTACAATTAATAAAACTGGTGACTATTTTTACAGAGAAGTGTTCGTATTGACCATCCTGGTGAGATGACTAAAGAGGATTTGGTTGAGATATTCTACCGTACTGTACTTCCATTACCACAGAGGCAATTTAGAGATAATAGATGGGGAAAAATGATGGCTAAGTTGAGGCCCAAGAAAAGAAAAGTCAATGATGTCGAAAAATATTTAAAGAATGTTGGCCCTTCACCAGCAAAGCGGTAAGGTATATTACTCGAACTAAATCGTGATAAAAACACTGGAAAATATTAAAGCGACACATTTTGTGAACCTCCATTGTTTCCACCAGGCATCTGAAGTATCACGGTATCGTGACGCTTGATTATGCTTGCTCTCTTTTTGTGATGTTTGAAATTCAGTCTGTCATGTTTATTGCTTTGTTTACAAGTGTCAGTCATATCTTGTACAAATTTAAAACAATAACATGCATTGATCAAAAGGTCATCAGCCTTAGCAATGCTAGTCAGTGGTAAGAACAGAAGTCTTGAAGAAGTTATCAAGTCTTTCAGGGGTGCAGCATATCTAAATTCGAAAACAAATAATTGCCCATTAGTGGCAACAATGGGACTAGTAAAACATGTCTCACAAAACGTACATTATGAAGATCTATTCCGACTTGCTGCAAATCAGTTATTTGCAGTTTTTACTCCTCTATTATCAAAAAGTGAAATAAAGTCGCATTGGAAAGGAAACTACCGTAAAAACCCTCAAATAAGAGCCACTTAGTAACACTTT